CCTCTCAGAGTAGTGGGGCTTCCCTAGCGTAGAAACTACCGGATCCGCTCCGGCCGCGGTTTTGTTTAAAGTGGAATTGCTAACCACCCCTAGAGGAGACCGCCTACAGTAAAAGCCTCCAATCGAGCTCAGCCTACAACTACGGGCAAATCATACTCGAATAGGAGCAACTGATTCACTACCCATTCCCATCCGCCACTACTCACGCATTCGAGGGACTTTTCAGCATAATCATAGCGTCCTTAACGCTTATACGCTGCCGTCCGATCCGCCGTATCCCGTGAGGCCGGGTGTATAACGGTGATCATACGCAAGTTTCGTGCGAAGGTCACAGGTAGAAGACAGTCTCTTCTCTAAGTTCTCGCTGGGGGCGTCAACACGAACCATTACGAATTCATTCCCAGTGTAACAGGGGCTGAATTTTGGAACATTTCTGTAGTACAGATAGTGATGCACCCTCCCCCGCCTATGCAGACTGAATCTAGTACCCTAACCCTCGTGTGCCTCTGATAAGGCACCCGCCGACCCATGCCGACCCGAGGCCGACACGAGTACAGCTTGTGCTTTAGAGAGGTTGCTCTCAGGGCTGCACCTTTATTTTGCGCCCGGACACCCCCCTTGTAACCAATGGTTGAGAGGGGTCACAGGAAAAATTGAAGGAACCTGGATTGAGAGAGGGACGTGGATGAGGACACAAGGTGCCCCTTTTCAGGGCTCCGAGCCTTAACCACATTATAGAAGCAGTACAGCGAGCCAGAAGCAGCACAGCGAAAAGGAGATACTAACATCTAGGGAATAATCGAAGAGGAACCTCAGATAATGCTAAACTACCTTAAGTGTAGTGCACTTCTCGCGGTATAGAAAGAAAAGAGACAATTCCACAATATATCTTTTAGGACGTAGCAGAAGAAAAGTAAACTATAACCACCAAGACTCCAGGTAATCGGGTCTCACCGCTCCAGGTTCTGGACTGCTGAACTCAAACTCACAGAACAATTTTTTTAAAACTTGTACTATCAAGGACATTCTTTTTAAAGTAGGCTGACCAATAACGTTCAAACCCTGAGTGTAACTTTATTTGTTTACATCACCTTACGTTTCTTCGTTGGAGAGCAAGATGCACTGCTGTGCTTTCATGATTTCATGACCAAAATCCAAATAATTGAAAAAATATAGAATTATATTTAGCATGTTTCTCTCTGAAACGATGTGTGGAGGTCATAAGGATGAGCCACGGCAAAATCTGATTTATAAAAAATTTACCTCTTTTTAAAACGAACAATTCAATATACAAATATATATAACATTCCCACAATTGTAAATTTTTTTAGTACTTAATTCAAAACCATCCCTAAACCTTGTGTATTTAAATAAAAAAGTGTGATGAGTATAAATTAGATTTGCAGAGCTAGCATATTAATATGAATATGTTTTTGGACAGACAATCAATTTTTTATGAAGTTTCCGCGTCTTCACGTTATCAGGGATTGCGCAAGGCTTGAGTTAGGTTAGGTTGGATTGAGCTAAGGGAAGGTTGATTTGGTTATTGTTAAGATTAGGGACAGGTTAGGTTAAGTTGGGTTAAGTTAAGGGACGGGTTAGTTTAGGTTGGGTTAACTTCCTTTCACCCGGGTGGGGTGTATCGCACCCTTTTTCCTCTCTTTTTCGAAACGAAGGCTGGTTGTTCGATAATTGGATTGCTAAAAACGCCATAAACGTTGAACATTTAAAGAAAAAAAGTGTGACGAATGTAAAATAAAATTTTATGGGAAGAAGGTTTCCAAGACGTGAGTGGGGTTTAATTTAATCAACAAGGATCATAAAACAACTTTGGCCAAACCTATTTTTCAATAATACTAGTTAATAACTAAATATACAATATATACTTATCGTAGATACTATTGAAACCAATCTTTTTTGCTTGCTTATCTAATTGTTAAATTCATCACGTTACCTATAAAATTAGTCGTTTAAATTACAAACAGGTATTTTTTGACCAAGGATCCAGGTTAATGAACTAAGAAATTACCTTCACATACTTACTCTATAATACATACAAAATACTGCTGATGTACAATCCTTGAACTCATAGTCTCAACATTATTTTCAGTGCAGAAAATATTAATAAGAAAATGGACTATTGTCAATGCGTCTAAATATGATAATTATAACGCAGAATATAATTTAAAGTTTTGGAAGGATTGTGGCAACGATAAGTGAAAACGTTTTCCAAAAATGAAAGCCACGGTTGATTTTACAAAATATATAAATGAAAGCTGATTTTAAGGGACGTGGAATTTCGTCATTGAAATATTAGTGTACATTTTTTGAAGTTTTTATTGGACATTTCTAAAATTTATATCAAGAATATAATTCGGTCTCGATCAACCATCGTTCCTGACAAGAAGCAATCCTCAAAACGTCAAGTTACAGAGTTTTGCAACAACCACTGAATGCAATATAAAAGTCCCGTTCTTTTTTCAAAAAGTATAAATGACGAGCCAACCCACCTAGGTTTAGCATACTGCAAATAAAAACTTTGAAATCAATCCTTAACGAAAACCAGATTAAACCTTAAAAATAATTGAGCTGGATACGCAATTTTTTACGTTTCTGTGTTCAGGGTCGGGTTCAAGGATTTGGTTAGATTAGGTTAGACTGAGAGACGGGACAGATTAGGTTAGTATGGGTTAAGATTAGGGACGGGTTAACTTGTTTCTCACCAGGTGCATCGCACCTCAGTGGTTTTTTCTTTGAATTACCACTTATCTTTTATCTCAAGAGTATTGAGGATTTAGGTAACCAGGTACTAGCCCTTTATTAAATTAGCATATGTCAAATTGGAAAATAAGCATTCTTTAATTATAAACTCTTTTTTTTCGGCAAGGTATGAATGTGGGTGGTGGTTAATATTTATTTCAGTAATTGTTTTAATTTTCTCAAAATTAAAGGCATCTTATAATAGTTATTACGGCAATGTGAAGGAGGACATGAAGATTCTGACTCCTTATCATATGCAAAAGACATTTTAACTAACATCGTTGTCATTCCTGACGTTTATGAAACAAGGTAAACCAACTACCATTATCATTGCGATATTGGGTTTACGAACAGCCGGTATAATGGAAGAAGTTATTTAAAACAACTAGACAACAATAATTATTTTCCTTCACTTTTTATATAATTTAAATTAATATTCATTAGTTTTCGTGGTCCGCTCAATTAATTAAGGTTTTTAGTTGAGATAAAAAAGTCAGTGTCACGAGCGGGATTCGAACCCACGACCTTCGGCTAGATACGCCATGCCCTACCACCTGAACCATCGCAACCTCGATCCACTCAGGCACCAACGTCCCACTTAACCCCACCTTTTTTTAAATTTTCCCTCCTTTTTGCAATTTTTCTTTATTAATAGAATGTTTTCGATATCATGACATGAGACCTCTTACATGTGTTAATTACATTTGTATTCCAATGGACTTCCCTATAATGTGTATTGTGTTTTTTTTTGTTTTTTGTTTGTGTATTGTTTTTGTTTTTAGCAATCATCTCAAAAGCATTTGCTTAGTAATATTAATGGGTTTTGGATAAATAATCTTTCTTTTTTCTATTTTTATTTTTTCTCTATGTTAGTTTTTTTATATGTGTATCTTTTGTGTTTTAAGCAGTTTTTTATCTTATTTTACATTAGTTTTTACCAATTTTTTGGGTTGTACGAAATATTGTATGAAATATTATTTTATTTTACTTTGTAATTTTTGTGTAAATAAGTTGTTTTGCATTTCATTAAAAATATAAGCTGATTATTTACAATAGTTAACTTTAACATAAGCATTCGGTACTTTTATAAATGTTATATTATATTGATTTAATTATAAGAATTTACAGATTATTGCTANTTTATAAATTTTATATATTTTTTAAATTAATATTCAAATCTTGTGGTGTTTCTATCACTTGTACTGTAAGTGTGACACATTGTTTGGAAGCCCACTGGACATACGAATGTAATGCTGAAGACGACTCTTGTCAAGATATCAAAAATGTTTTATTAATAAAGAAAATTCCATGCTACAGTATATTGTTCAACCTACAGTAAGATAGAATTGTAGAGTAAACAGCAAACGGTTTTAATATATTTTTTTTTTTTTAATTAATGATTCTTATTTCTGCTTATTGAAAAATAAAAATTTCAATTTTTTTTGTCAATGATTATGATGAGGAACAAGGTACCCAATTGGAAGAATTTTTGTTAGCTTGTAATTGTTCGATGGTTTGCAACCTAAAAGTATGAGTTTTATATTAGTTTTCACAAATATGGGAACTTCTATTAGTTATTTTTTTAAAGAAATTATGTATTATATTATTACGTTTTTTTTAACTTTAGCCTTCAAAAGGTGCCAAAAAATGGCCCAACTGGTGAAATTTGCTCGTTAAGATTAGGGACGGGTTAAGTTAGGTTATAGTTAGGGTTAGGTGGGTAAGGGTTAGGTGACATCTTAAGTCTACTTTTACTAATTAAAATTTATAGGGCTGAAAAATAATTTAGTACCGTTTATGGTGTAATTTGTTTTTCTCCTTGTACAAAGTAGCCATTGTACCTGACGAGGAAAAACACAAAAGTGTACAAATAAATTTTGTACGTTTTAGGAAGAATCAGCGAAAATTTTGTTGAAAAATAAGGAAACTATTGTAGAAGATATTAGTTAGAGGCTATCATTCTTAAATGTGCTTCTCTACACAAATATTTGGTTCATATGAGTTTAAATTTTGAGATTTTATTTTGGGTTCTGTTGGGTGATGATGAAGTTTGGCCATTTTCGATCATTTTGATTTGCCTTTCCTCGCTGTTTTGGCCTATCAGATGTTGCGAAGCTAACTCTTCAATCTATAATCTGGTATGACCTTTCAAGAGAAACCAATTTTTCGGTGAAACGACTTTTCATTATTGATTCAATTTATATTTTCTACTTATTAATAAAAAAAAAAATATTTTTCAGGGCTGGAATGACGTTGGCTTCCACGGGGCGAACGAGATCTGGACGCCGAACATTGACGCCCTCGCCTACAGCGGGCTCATCCTCAACAGCCACTACTCTGAGAACCTCTGCACGCCGTCCCGTTCGGCCCTCCTGACCGGAAGATATCCCATTCACACAGGTAGCACGCTGCAATTCAATGACCGGCCGATTTGAAATATAAACAGTCTATATGAATTCCGAGGACGCGCGAGCAATCGGGGCAAATCGTTTGACTACTGCCCATCGGTGTCACCTGCGGTTTCGCAACGTTTTTGTCTGTCGCTTTTACTTCCTCCTATTCGATCTTTCTAACCAATTGGTGACATTGAAACCATCACTGCTTCAAAGATGAAATCTGTTTTAAGCTGGCACCATATCTTAAAAGCCTGTAGATAGAAATATTAATATTTTTAAAGGACTTAAAACAACAGTAGCAGATCGTCCTATTGTCGTGCTTTTCAGGAACACGTTCCCATCATCAAAACAAACTGTATTTAATATACTAAAGTTTAATCGTTCAGATTTTAAACGCCGTTTTAGGGATCAACTTATTAGAAATGTATGGTGTTTAGTGACCGTTAGTCAATGATTATTTGGAGATCGTGAGGTGCGGTCTGGTGTGATGTAGGTTCTACAAAAACACTTTCTTTATCGGGCAAACGTTTCGATCTTTATTGAGATCATCTTCAGGGCCTGGGATTTATAACCATACTTCACATCCTACATATATACTTGTAAAATTCAAACAATGTTTATAAATCCCAGGCCCTGAAGATGATCTCCATAAAGATTGATACGTTGGCATGATAAAGAAAACGTTTTACTAAAACCTACGTCACACCAGACCGCATCTCACGATCTCCAACTAATTATTAGAAATGGTTTTCCAGTTTGAATTAAATGGTAAACTTATTAAACTATTCAAAGTTGAAACCTCGTTATTCTGATATGGCCCTATGAGGACCAAGAATGGGCGCCGGTGGCCGCAATAGTTAAAGCCGGCAACTGATCAATAGAAGGGTCCCGGGTTCGAATCTCAGCGGCCCCTTCCAACGAGCTGTTATCAAAACTGCTCAAAACTGAATAGAGATATTGCCAATTTTGTAGTATTTATTTTTTTGTTTTATTTTTATTATAAATTCCATTAACATTTATTAAAAATTATTCTGTTTTTTATTGAAGGAAAATTTAAATAAGGAATTTTGAAAAATTACAAAATAAAAGTTTTTAATTCCATAATTTTGTTTATTGGTCACAGTAATTTTTATACGATTAATACTGAGTATAATGTCCTCTGTGCACCTTAGGTCATGTTAATAAGTTTCAATTAATTAAAATTTTTAGTTGAAATAAAAAAGTCAGTGTCACGAGCGGGATTCGAACTCACGATCTTCGGCTAGATAAGCCGCTGCTCTACCACTTGAGCTATTGTGACTTCGATCCACTCGGGCAACAACTTCCTATCTCAAGTTGGTGAAAATTCAAAAGGTGGGGTTGAGATGGGAAGTTGGTGCCCGAGCGGATCGAAGTCATAATAGCTCAAGCTGGCAAGCTTGACACCATGGTAGAGGAGCGGCGTATTTAGCCGAAGGTCGTGGGTTCGAATCCCGCTCGTGTCACTGACTTTTTTTATCTCTACTAAAAGCTTTAATTAATTGAAATATATTAATTGGTCAAGCGGACCACGAAAACTAGTGAATTTAATGTTGTTAATAAGGTTTCATAAGGAATTTCACTCCATGGATGCTGCAACGCTGCACTCAGTTGTTGCAGGTCAACTGGTTGCAGATGGTGTTCGAAAACAATTCTCTGCAACACATCCCACATGTGCCCATTGAAATTGAGGTCTAGAGACAATGGGGGAAGGAGCAGATGGGAAATTCCCAGGTTTTCTGAACATTGATGAACAATTCTGCCTCTTTGAGATCTGGCGTTGTCATCCAAAAGTCGAAAATCCCTGCCACAGAAATCCCTGGTTTTTTAGGGATTCCTAGATAATTTCTTGGATATAATGGACTGCTGCAAGATTGCCTTCAACAATATCGAGTCCAGTTTGTTTTCCAGTGTAAAGCCCAGCCCAGACCATTACACCACCTCTCCAAACTGCACTGAAGAGAGCATGAACTGGGGCATTGTACGCATCCCCTGTTCACAGTGACTCTTCAGTGCCTGCTATCACTACACTACAGAAACATGACTCTTCAGTAAACATAATAGCCTTCCCATTGGTGTTATCTTCTAAATGCTCACTGCACCATATGCTCTTGAGTTGCTAGTGGCAGGATGCTGCTGTAGGTCTCCTCAAAGAGGCCTACGATGTGAGGGCAACTTCCCCTACGATCCCTGAATCATTTGTGTTGATTAAATCCTTACCAAAACATCTTGTTCTTCATATAGGATCTGGCTGGCACCTTGGAAAGGGTTGCATCTTTCAGCAATGATAATATTTTTGTCCCCCTTAGTGTCGAACTGCAGTGAGATCCACTACCAGGCCTCCTATTGGCACTTCCAGTCTTTCAGAATTGGGCTAAAGCCAGGGAGACAACGTCCTGAGAAACTCTGCTACATCCACATTCCAGTGACTTCAATGACTCATTTCTACAATAATATTGTAAACTTCTGGTTCAAGATCTTGTTTTTTCATGGTTAAACATAATACAACTGAATTAAAATGGAGAAAAGGTGTTTGTTTTAAAATGAGTAGTCTTCATATTTACTATTCTTAAGTTAATCTGTTATTAAAAATGAGGATTAACAATTGTTTGTTTTTGGTTTGTATTTTCTATTTTGTTTTATCCAACTAACAGGAATATATCAGTTAATTTAATTAAAATTAATAGAATAAGAATAATGTACAAATATTCCTATTCATTTTTGAACAGTTTATTTGTCCAACCTTACAACCCAAAATAATTAGAAAAATATACATATGCTAATCCATATAGCAGTCATTATTAACCATATTGTTACCGTATTATTTCAATAAATTATACTTTTTATCTATTATAGGTCACTGTAATCCTGATTACATGGTATTTGAAAATATAGCAAAAAGAGGGAAAATTCGAAAGATTGTAGGTTGAGGTAAGGAGTTGGTAGCCAAGTAGATCAAAGTTATGATAGTTCCAGTGGTTAGAGCAGTGGAGTATTTAGCTGATGTTCAAGGGTTCAAATACCACTGACACTAATTTTTCATCTCAGCCAAGACCTTAGATAAAAAGTATAATTAATTGAAATTATACATATGGTATTCAACTATGGGGCTGTATGAAACACAGCAAAACCAAAATTATACAAACGCTCCAAAATAAAATTTTATGAAACATGTCAATGCACCTTGTATGCAAGGAATAAGGATTTACAGGACTACGGTAGAAATACAAAGATTTGCCTCTAAACACCAGTCTTGCCTGAAAATGAGGAAAAGGCAAAACTCTTATACAACTGAAATATTGTTATAAGATTGAAAATGACAAAGCCATTTTGAACTTGTTTGTTAAATAATTTTGTGAATAGTGAATCTATGTGTGAATATTCATTTAAGATCTTACAATTAGTGTTAAGAAAGGCCAATAAAAAATAAATAATACAGTGCTTTTAATTCTTTTGAAAAAAATGAAGTTTTTAACAAGAATTTGTATTTCTTTTTTTCAGGCACTCAACACAATGTGATAGTTGAAGCTTCACCATGGGGTTTGCCGTTGAAAGAAAAACTGATGCCTCAATATTTCAACAAGCTGGGCTACGTGAGCCATGCGTTGGGCAAATGGCATCTTGGTTTTTTCAAGAAAGAATACACCCCAACTTACAGAGGGTTCAAGACCCACTATGGCTATTGGAACAGCCATCAGGACTACTTCAGCCACGTTGTCCAAGCATCGGTATACCGTTATATTTATTTGTCACCCAATTTAATTATTCATTGGTACATTATTAATTTCAGTTTTCACCTTTTGAGGGAATGGATATGAGAGACAACATGACAATAGACTGGTCGAGCAAGGGTCATTACACAACCAGACTCCTTACAGATAGAGCGGTTAAGCTCATCACGGAACACGACAATAATAAACCATTATTCTTATACTTTGCACACCAGGCGACTCACGCCGGCAATTATGAAGATCCTCTCCAAGCTCCTGAAGAGACTATTAAAATGTTTTCACATTTGCCAAATAAGATGAAACAGGTCTATGCAGGTAATGTCATTTAAATCACTTTGGTATGTTTTCTTTATATATTATTTAATTTAGCGATGACTTGGGAGCTTGACCAGTCTGTAGGAAAGGTCATGGATGCGTTGAAGAATAAAGACATGTTGGACAACACTATTATCGTCCTTGCATCTGACAACGGTGCGCCAACAAGAGGTCTCCATAAAAACACAGGATCCAACTGGCCTCTCAAAGGGGTAAATTTTTATTTTTTCAGACTTGAATAAATTCAAAATAATAATTTTCTATAATACTAGGAGAAATCTACACCATGGGAAGGCGCGTTGAGATCGGTTGCCTGCATTTGGAGTCCGATGATCCAGAAAAAGCAGACTGTCTCAAATAACTTGATGCACTTGGTAGATTGGCTACCAACTCTATATACAGCAGCTGGTAGGTTCAAAAATAATGTATTATTGTATTTCAAGCACAAAAAAAATTGCTGTATTAATTAACAATTTCCTTGTGAATATGAAGAGATTTATTTGCATTATATCAAAACTGCTTTAGTTGTTAAATAATCACAACCCTTAGGTGGAGATACTTCAGATTTAAAAAATATTGATGGAGTCAGTCAATGGGATTATCTGAAAAACGTTGAAAACAGTACAGAACCGAGGGGTGAAATTTTACAGAACATTGATGATGTCTATGGCTATTCCGCTCTGCGCGATGGCCCATTCAAATATGTAAATGGTAAGTTAAGGATAGAAGCTTTATGAAGCTGAAAATGTTAATATAAAATATTCTAGGAACTGCGTTTCTTGGATACCTTGACAATTGGTTCGGTGAGGAAGAAAGAAGCGCCCTAGAATACAACATATCAGCTGTCATCAATTCGCCAGTCGCTCGGATATTCAAAGAGGTCAACAACGCCAGCCTGGTCGAAGAAAAGATAGCCAGTTTGAGAAAAATGGCACTGGTCAAATGCAACGAGACAAACAAATACATCAAATGTGATTCTAAATTGCAGCCATGCCTGTTCAACATAGAAGAAGATCCTTGTGAGCGGAACAATGTCTTCCAGCTTCATCCCGATGCAGTTAGGATAATGGAGTCGAAAATTGCAAAGTATCGTGTAAATATGATTCCACCAGGAAACAAACGGGCTGAGTCAGTCGCCAACCCAAGGTACTACAACAATACTTGGACGAACTGGAGGGATTATAAACGTGCATTATCAAAGCGATTGTGATTAATTAACTAATAAGGAATGTGTTTATTTTGTAAATATTGTTTCATTTCATTTGTAATTTATTGTGTACAAAGAACACTTAGAGCTTCTAGAGCTTTTTTGTTGTATAAAATAAAATCAAACTCTTTACAAAAAGAAAATTACATACATTTCAAATTGTAAGTTTAGCTATTTATGATAATTATAAAATATATATTAAACAGAATGACTGAAAATATTTAGTTATTTTTTTTGGTCAAAACTTTAAAAAAAGAAAAGGTCTGCACATCAGGACAAAATAAAAATGGGAATGGTTATAAAAATTCTGTTTATAGTGGGCATTTCTTGTTCATGAATCCTAATATGGAATTAGTATAATCTTATACACACATGAAACTTGAACATAAACCATTAACTATGAATTGAAACTCATTTGGAAACATTATTCCCATGGTAAAATGGTAGGCAGCAACAGGGGTAAACAAGTTTACAACAGTAAATAAACAGTAAGCAATAGAAATGTAAAGGCAAACAGAAATATTTAATTTTTAATTTTTACAATATTAGCTGCTACATTTTGATGAATAAAAAAAACTAAATTTTTTTTATACACATACAAAAACTTAGCTTTGTTCTTTGCAAATGAATGACTAAACAATAAATGTTTCCGAAATTTTGGAATATTTTATGATAATTTACTTTTTCAACAAACCGTACAGGCTTTTATTGGCCTTTTATTTTTACACTGACCATTTTACTGTAAAACTGAGTGTGGTTCAAAAGGAATTTTTCACATAGAATCTTCTGGTGGTGGTAGAATTTTAATAAGTTAGTGGCATGTTAAGCCAACCTGGTGGTCATCTTTTTTCTTCAAATGTAATACCTTTTTTTTTAAAAAATTTAAAAGTCCTTTCTATTCTAAAAAAATGATAACAGAAACTCCAAAATTCATCAAATCATATTGAGATATTGATGTCTTCCACCAGAACTTGATAATTTCGATTTATCCTGTAATTGACAATTATAGTTTAATGTTAGGTTTAAAGCAATTAGTACAGATAAAACATGTGGTTACACAGATGGGTCAAAAACCATGGATGGAGTTATAGCTTCGGTTATATTCAGTTCAAGAAAATATTATTTTTCACTTTCACCAATATATAGCATCTTTTCTGCTGTGTTACATGCAATATGTGCTGCCCACCAAAAAACTCATAGTAATATGTACTGATTCACTGTCTGCCCTATATGCCATTAAAAATATTTTCTCGCACAATGTACTCATACAAGGGATCATTTATGCACTAATAAAACTTAAAAATATGAGATTGGCCATTAATTTTGTGTGGGTGCCTGGGCACTGTAACATTACTGGAAACGAAATTGCTGACAAGGCAGCAAAAGATGCCACTGCGAATCGAATCAAGTACAATGATATCCCATTTAGCGACCTTGGCTCCCTAATAAAAAATAACATCTAAATACAATGGCAGAAGGAATAGAACAATACAGAAAGCAACAAATTACTTGAAATAAAATTGTGTAGAAGCATAGAGCTCTGCCTCCTGGACGTCAAGGAAACAATCCTGACACGTTTAAGAGTGGGAACAGTAAGCTTACTCATTGATATCTTATGAGCCGAGAGATCCCACCAACTTGTACATCATGTGGTGTCTTGGTAGCAATAAAGCGTATGTTCACTGAATTCAAAAAATATGAACAACTCTGAAATAAATAGCAAATTTCTAACAACATATTTGACACCCTCAATGATTTTAGTAACATGTATAACGTTGAGGGATTGTGCTTCTATAATAACATTTACAATAGTCATATAACAAGGAAAAACTTCTTATTTAAAAAAATAAACAATAGAATCAATGAAATATGATTGATGGTTATTTGTTACAATTAATTAAGGTTTTTAGTTGAGATAAAAAAGTCAATGGCACGAGCGGGATTCGAACCCACGATCTTCGGCTAGATACGCCGCTGCTCTACCACTTGAGCTAACGTGACCTCGATCCACTCGGACACCAACTTCCCATCTCAACCGCACCTTTTGAGCTTTCCCTCCTTTTTGCCATTTTTGAAATGTGTAATCGGATTGGATTCTCGGCGACAAACGAAATGGCCACGGAGAGCTTTAGTGAAGTATACTTCATTTTAATTCATTAAATTGACAAATTTCGTGGTCGGCTTGACCAATTAATATATTACAATTAATTAAGGTTTTTAATTGAGATAAAAAAGTCAATGGCACGAGCGGGATTCGAACCCACGATCTTCGGCTAGATACGCCTCTGCTCTACCACTTGAGCTATCGTGACCTCGATCCACTCCCGCTCGTGCCATTGACTGCCAGTGATCTTAATTAATTGTAATATATTAATTAGTCAAGCGGACCACGATATTAGTGAAGTTATTTGTTACAATGAGATAAAAAAGAAAAAGAGAATAACTCTCTTATAAAAACTGTTATAATTTTTTTTATTACTTTGTTACGAGGGTTCACAACAGCAGAGGTCATATAAACGCTCAGGGTGCCGGTGTTTTTGAAAACAAAGCCCATCTGTAAGTATATCGGGTTCGTAGGCAGGGTAGCTGGATTCGAACCCAGGACCTTTACCTTCCCTAAACCATTGCAGTTTTGAAAAGGCAGTCAAAACTAGTTTTAATTTTTATAAAATAAAGAAAATTTATTCGAAATATTTTCCATCACAATCTATACATCTTTGCCAACGTGTTATAAGAGATGTTATTCCACTGACATAAAAATCTATTTCGAGTAACAATAAAGCCTTGGAAGGCGTTATCAGCCTCATCGCGTTCTCTAAAAATTTGATCCCTCAAGAAGTGATCAAAATGCCTAAAAAAGTGGAAGTCTGTAGGCGCGAGATCGGGTGATTATGGGGGCACGGTAAGGTGTCACAGGTTTCACTTCAGTTTCCGTAGGGTTGGCTACTTGGCCTGGTGTTATCGTGAAGAAGAACCAGCCCCTTACGGTTTACCAGTGCTGGACAAGGAGGTTGCAGTTGCCATTGCATTTTGTCAATTTCTTAGCAATATTTCTCTGCTGTGATAGTTTCATCATATTCAGGAAATTATAGTGAACAACCCCTGCAGTACACCATCAAACCTTTTTTGGGTTTAAATTTGGTGTCGGGAAGTGTTTTGGCTCTTCATCTTTGTCCAACCAATGACCTGTACGCCTCCTGTTATCGTACAGAATCCATATCTCACAGCACGTGAAGATTCGATGGAGAAATGGATCATTCTTGCAACAGAAAGAAGTGTAAATTTAACAACGTCGATTTTTTTTTTTTTTTTTGGGGGGGGGGGGGTTTGGTGAGTTCGTGCATTACCCACTTGTCGAGCTTTTACAACAAAAAAAAGAATCAATCGAACCGAGTTCGACCATTCAATGCTCTAGCAATCTTCCATCTTTTTTCCGAATCAACAAAAAAAACCCTTTTTGCAAAAAAAATTAAGATTACGCAGTTCGAGAAGTGTGTGGCCTTTGTGTGTCATGGCTTTCGGCCCTGACAGGGCGCATATTTCAGCCGGCGATGGACATCCCCCTTGCACCGGGGATGGACAAAAGCCGCCTAATTTCCCGAGACTATCTCCGCCCATCTGAATTGTTCAAGTCTCGAACCGGCTGAAATGGAGGAAGCGAGGAGGTCGACACAGGTCGCTAATCGCATCGCTAACTTAGTGCCCCAGAGTCGACCTCCTTACCTATCCTCCTTGCCCTTAATGCCCAGCCAGTCAAAGATCACGGAAAAGCCATCTCCGACCTTAAAAACCGCTTTATCTATCGTTTTATTCTGCCCAATTTTCCAAGTTTAAATACCAAGATATTTAAGTTTCAATAGTGTTTCTCTTACGATACTGTTCCAGGGAAAATGAACAACGGTGCTACCCTCAAAAAACATTTAAAACTCTCATACATTATGATAGAGTTAATCAATTTTAAAGGGCTCTTTAGCCACAGTTTAACAATTATTCTCATTCTTTTTGCGCACTAAAATTAATACATTAAAAAAAATTGCTAAGAAAACTGTAACTTTACTGTAAGAAGGCGAGAAACCGACACACCTCTGACCGACCAAACCAAACTAAATTTATTAAGGTCAAACTAAAATATTAACTTTTTTTTATTCTTTTATTTTTTACAAACTGAAATACAACTACAATAGTGTATTATATAAAATATTTACCAACTAGACGGGGAAACATCCCTCTATTCCCTTAAAAATCGGAACAGGGGACCCAACCTACTCTCATGTCAGTGACTTTAGATCGGGTGCCATGCCTACTCGCTCTCTATAAGGCATGGCATTTCTTGACCAAGTGTGACACACTAAGCATCCTTTCTCTATAAGCGGGGCACCTTTTGAGGAAAATCCCGCGCGGGTATCACGGGCATCAATCAGGTATGGCTTTCCTCTAACGGGTAAGCACGATCCCTTCCTTGTGTTTCAGATTAACAAGGGTCCATCGTTTAGTGTGCTCATGTCACGCAAAAGCTTTTCGGACGATTCGGCCCATAATACATAACTATTATTATTATATTTCTAATCAGGATAGTTTATGTATATTCACTACCTTAATTAATAGTTTATGTATTTAAACTTTTTCTAAACGTTACAAAATACAAATAAAATAATATACCGAAAGGTTAAGTTAGGGTTAGATACGGGTTAGGTGGAGTTTGGGGTTAAGGACGGGTTATTGTTAGGATTTGAAATGGGTGACGCTAAGTTAGGTTTGGTAAAGTTAAGATTAAGAATAGTCTGAAGGTTGGCGTTAAAGTAAGGGATAGGTTATGATTAGGGATGGTTAGGCTAGATAAAGTTAAGGTTAGGGACAGGTTATAGTTACGATTAAAGACGTATTGGACTAGGTTACGTAGCACTGTGGTTAGGGACGGATTATCGTTAGTGCGGATGCTGGTTACGATTAGAGATAAATAAAGTAGTTTAGGTTAGGTAGAGCTAAGGTTAATATTGGAATAACTGTTCGGGTTAGAGACGGGTTTGACTTATGTCAGGTTAAGTAAAGTGAGGTTTAGGGACGGAATAGGTTAGGTTAATGTTAGGAGCGGGTATGGTTATATTTCAATGTTTTTGCATGAAGCTAAGAAAAATGGTTTTAATAACAAGCTACTTTTTTCCAGAAAGCTGTCAAATTTTAATTTTTTCTTTTTATAAAAGCATACTGGAACGGTTT